TAGCCCAGGCTGGCCTCGAACTTGCAACAATCCTCCTGCCTCAGCCTCCCCAGTGCTGGGATTACAGACGTGTGCCACCATGCCTGGCTCTCTCTTTTTTTTTTTTTTTTTTGAGACAGGATCTCATTATGTAGTTCAGGATGGCCTTGAAATTGCTTATGGTAGGCCAGGCTGGACTCCAACTCACAGCGATCTTCCAGGCTCAGTCTCCCGAGGGCTGGGATTACAGTCACGTACCACCACACCCAGCTCCTGTTTCTCTTATTCATGGATTCATTAACTGGCCTGGGCAATTTGATTGTTTACAAATGTTTGGTAGGTGTTTTAAATTTCAGACGCCTGGCCTATGGTACCTTTTGGTACCCTATATGTGAAAACAGGGAATTGCCCTTTATATGGGATTTCACACAGCTTGCCCCTAAATATTTCTGTGGATTTAGCTTGGAGCAGGCTAATGAATATTGATATTTGCAAGCCAGTGATGACTTTCTGAAGTTAGAACCTTTTTTGGGGGGTAGTGAAGACTGAACCCAAAGTCTTGGTGCATCCGGAGCAAGTGCTCTATCACCAACCCACAGCCTCCACCCTTTTTATTTTATTTTGAGATAGAGTCTCTCTAAGTTGCTCGGACTGGTCTCAAACTTGTGATAATTCTTCCTTAGCCTCCAGGATTACAGGTGTGTGTCACACCTGGTATGAATACTTTTTTCTTTACCCAAACTTGTGATATCTCTGCATAAAAAGGCCAGCTAAACAGCACTCAAGAAAGAACCTCTAATAAACTAAACTGCGTCTAAAACTGGGAAAATCTCCCAAAGCCTCTTGACTAGGTCCCATGATGCACCATAAACTGCTGTAGGTTTTGTGGACTACCAGGGCACAGAGAGTTTGATGAATGAGTCCTGTGAGAGGACTGCTTTGCCCGCTGGGTCCTGGCAAGTTGGCTCCGGTGCATTTATTTCTAACCTTTGGAGGTGGGTGGGTCCGGAGAGGCTTGGAGGAGGTTACCTCAGAACAGAGGAAGGGACTGTGTCACTGAGGGCCAGGGCTGGTGGTGTACATCCAACAGGAGAGCTGTCACAGAGAAAGGTCACTCGGAAGGACAGAGGTGTGCAGAGATGCAGCGAAGGAGCCCTACGCTCGGAGGCTGAGGCAGGAGGCTTCATCTCTCACTTTGCACACCCACTCCTGCCTATAGCTGTTTCCAATGCCTGCTCACTTTTAGGGAGGGGTAATGCAGGGAGAAGCACCTCGCTTTGGCCAGACTCCCCCTGTAGGGGTTCCCCCTACAAGGAGCCCTCGGGGAAAGGAATGCTTCTGCCCTCTCAGAACAGAGAGCCTGGGCCTTTCCCCCGCCCAGGGGGTCTAGCCTCAAGTCCCTGCAGACCGGGATGCCATCAGAACTGCAGTCCTCCAAAGTGCTGATGAGAAAGCAGAGTGTGTGTGTGTGTGTGTGTGTGTGTGTGTGTGTGTGTGTGTGTGTGCAGGTGTCTGTCACAGCCGCCTCCTCACTGCGTGTGTTTTGAAAGGAGCCTCCGTAGGGTCCACGCCCCAGCCCCGCCCCACACAGGGCCCCACCCAATGCCCACCCGGTCCCACCCACCAGCCACGCCCAGTACCCCGCCCTAGCCCTCTGTCCCCGCCCACTTCCTCAGTCTGGGCTCCGCCCCCGCTCACTTCTCAATGCCGACAAGGATGTAGCGGCGCTGTGAATCCAGGTGGTGGAACCAGCCCTGCACGAGCACCGCCCACTGGATGCCGAAGGCCGCCAGCAGGAAGTTGAAGCCCACGGCCCCGAACCCATAGCGCTGCAGGAAAGTCATGAGGAAGCCAAAGCCCACGAAGACCATGACGTGCACGTCCTGGAAGCCTGCAGGGAAAACGCGGTGCGGTTTTAAGCGACCGGCCAGGCTGTGTGTCACCACGCCTTTTGTCGCCCAGCCGCTAGCCCTGGTGCGTGGACCCCTAAGCCCATCTCTTTCTTCCCTCGTCCCGCACAGGCCTGATGACTAGTGGCTCCCCTGCTGGTGGAACCGCCTCTCCCCTCTAATGTAAGGAGGGCTAGATTGGGGGACTCCCCTTGGACCTGGGTAGGTCCTGGGTTACAGTTTGATGCCTAAGAGCCTCTGGGAGATGAAGTCTTTCAACTCCCACTCTGCATCCCGGTGGCTGTGCTACTCCAGGGTGGGGTGGACAGCTGGGCATCTGAATTTAGGGACTAGAGTGCTGACCACTGGGACAGACGCCCTACCTGTCTCCATAGCCCTCACCTTTTGAGGGGAGAATCAGCCTTCATATGGCCTGCTGGTCACACCTGGCCCACCGCCACCACCTCCAGCACCTACGCTGCCTGGTCGCCAAGAGTAGAATTTAGATCCAGCACCTTTGTGTCCCTGGGGAAGACTTTGGGGATGTTCCCAAACACGCTTGTGCACACACCAGCCCCATGTGTTTTGCTCAGCTCATGGGTGTTTTAGGAATTCAGTGCAGGTCTGTGTGCAAGGCGCCTCACACAGTGCCTACCTGTAACGGGATCACACAGGCTGGTGGCATTATCTACTGTCACTCGGGCAGGCCTAGCTTTGTCTGAGTTTCAACCCAACTCTTCTGCCTACTCACGATGCAGCCTTGGCCAGCTACTTCCCCTCGGAACTGCAGTTTCTCACTGATAAAACTAAAGAGCTGAATGGCCTTAACTGTCCTCCCAGGGCTTGAATGGCACGGCTCCAGACACCAAGGAAATGGAAGAAAGCACAGAGCTTTGAGAAGCAAAGTCACAAAACTGCAAAACTCTAAAAGCCCTTGCAGGTGTTGTGGGACCCTGGTCACATTGAAGGGCTCCTGCTGGCCACATCTGAGACCAACTGAGCACCAAAATAATTAGGTGCTATATTGTATTAAAACCATTTAAAACAGCAAGTCCATACTGATAATAAGTAGGTAAATGAATAGCAGAAGGACCCTCGCTAACAGCAGAGTATTGAAATGGAGGAGCTGGGGTGGTGGCACACACCTGTAATCCAGGAGGCTGAGGCAAGAGGGTCACTGCAAGTTCAAGGACAGCCTGGGCTACTGCCCCACAGCTGGGTAGGGGGGATGCCCCTGCAGCTGATTTAACCAAGCCTGTCCCCATCTGTCCTCATCCGTCTCCCCTCCAGACCATGACTACAGGCCTCTTGGCCGGAAGCCACCTGGAGGAGGCACTGGCACCTGAAGGGCAGGAGGGCAGGCTGACACCACAGAGCTGGGGGGCCCCCAGGATGGTACCCTGAGCTTCCCTCAGAGTTCATGCAAGCAGGTTTCTCCTTGTGCGCATCTGAGTTCACGGATAATCGTATTTCATGGTTTATCACATCTCCAACTGTTGTGAGTGAATAGATGTGAAGCACCATAAAAGGTATTACGGTTATTCTGGGAAGAAGTGAGGGGCGACAGACGGGAAGAGGGCTGTGGAGGAGGGGGAGGTGACACATTCAGACGACAACTTTAGAAGCAGGGAGAGGAGCTGAATGGCAGGGCTGTTGACAGACACAGGGTAGTGGGAGAGGAGGTGGTGGGAGGGGGGTGCTGAGTCCCAACCTGGCCAAGGTGGGCTGGAGATGACCCTGGGTGGGGCCGGGGAGCTTGGGGAAGGGGCTGTGGGTGTTGGAGACCAGATGAGTCCGCAGCGGGGTTGTGTGCTGGCCGCTTGGGAGGCAGAGGACAGACCCAGGCCAGGCACTGGCTGTGCCTTGAAGCCAGCAGCCAGGCAAGGTGCTGGCAGGGGAACCTCTGGGAAAAGCCAGCCTCATGAAAGGCAAGGATCGGGGCTGGGGATTTAGCTCAGCGGCAAAAAGCGCCTCCCTGGCAAGCGCAAGGTCGTGAGTTCGGTTCCCGGTACCGGAGAAAAACAAAAACAAACAAAAAAGAAAGGCAAGGACCTTTCAAAGACAGGGTTGCCAGCTGCTTGGTGGCACAGAGGAGCCACATGGGTGGGGCCAAGCTGAAGGTCACTGGGGGGCATCTGCAGTGTGGGGGTTGCCTTCAGTCTCTCTGTGTCCGGAAGGGGCTCAGGGGGCCTCGCTTTCCTGTCCTTCCTCCCTCCCCGTGCTCCCCGGGTGCCTTGTACCCCTCTAACCCTCTCTGGAGCTGTCTCTTTTTCTCTCCCCTCCCTGGTGTAGACACCAGCTTCCCACTCCTCAGCCACCTCTCTTTCTCTTTTTCCCCCTACCTGGTCCTGATTTAGTGCTAAGCAGCTCATTAATTTTTCTCATAGGGTTTGGTGCTACTAATCGCAGTACTTCAGGAGGTTGAGGCAGAAGGATTGAAAGTTGAAGCCTAGCCTGGGCCACTTGGGAAGACCCTGTCTCAAAATTTAAAAGGCTGGTGGTGTGGGGATGTAGCTCAGGGTAAAGGCCTTGAGTTCAATCCCCAGTACTGGAAAAATATTTTTTTTAAAATGATTTAAACAGCAATAATAAAGTGCAGGTCCAAAGTGTATGACGTCAGCCAAGGACACAACTTCTTGGGTCCAGTTTCTTTATTGGTAAGTGGGGTAGGGACAGTGCCCAACAGCACGTGGCCCAGAGGGTTTGCGGCACACATTTAACAAGAACTTCCTATCAGAGCCTGGGCACAGGCCTGGCCCTTTACCAGCTGCTCAATCAGATGAGCAGGGGCTGGGGATTTAGCTCAGCGGTGAAAGCGACTGCCTGGCAAGCGCAAGGTCGTGAGTTTGGTTCCCGATACCGGAGAAAAACCAAAAAAAAAAAAAATCAGATGAGCAATTGTTTCTCTTTTTCTCTTTGAAGACTGATCAGGGGCAAGGTGCGTGCCTGTAATCCCAACACGCAGGAGGTTGAAGCAGGAGGATTCTGAGTTCAAGGCCAGCCTGGGCTATATAGCAAGACCTTACCTCAGCAACAAAAACAAAAGCCAATCAAATGAAAAGGCTGACCAGGTGCATTGCACCGGGCTGGTGACGTGCTGCGGGTGATGGGCCGCTCAAACAGCCCTACCACACCCCTTCCTCAACCAGTCCCTGATTTGCTGCTGGAGGAGGTTGGAGGGCAGATGCCGGCGCTGGCTTCCGGCACAGAGAGCTGCCACCAGGGGGCACCTGCGCACAGCTGTTGTGGCGCTCCCTCTACTTCCCGCCGCTCCTACTCACCTCCCTGTCAGATGCCCTTTTCCTGCCCTGCCTGAGTCCCTCTCTAGCTTGCCTGAATCTCCCACGTGAGAGGACAAAGTTTCCCACACCGATAAGCCACAGCAGTGCCCTCTCCTCCGCTGCCCTGCCCAACCCCTGGGGCCAGCCCAGCCTCACCTGTTTGCTGAGACCTCCTGGCCAGTACCCCTGTCCCCACCACCACACCCCAAGGTCCCGTCCCACACCAGCCCTGCAAAACCTCCAGCGGGCAGGAGATGGTGAGGGGCTGCAAAGCCGCTGCAGATTCTGGAAAGCAGCTGGCTGGGGGTAAGGGACTCGGCTTAGTCCTTGCCCGGGCCACTGACAGACAGCGTGCTGGGTCCCTCCTTGTCTCTGCTTCCTCCACCACAGCACGGAAAGAGTAAATGCCTGGCCAAGCAGGCAAATGGCACTTTGCAAAGGAATTTAAATGTCTCATAGTCAAACTAGTATTCCAGGAGACATTCCAGCCACATGTCTAGAGGGTGCTGGGCTCCATTTAGGCCTTTTTGTCCACAGAGCACACTCGAGCTGCATTCACTGTGTGCTTACTTTGGGCCACGGATGAGTGCCCAAATCTGTACCTCACATCGCACTTCCAGTCCACTAAGACACAGTGTGGTGGGGTCACCACTCCCTCCACTGAGGGGTGGATTCTAAAGGCAACCACCAGGTCACACTGCTCTCTGCTCTGGGAAGCCTGTGCTTTATCAGCTGAAACTGAGTCTGAGGTAAGGGACTCAAAGCCCCAGCAGACCCTGGCTCCCTGGTCCCCTGAGACAGACCTTCCTTCAGGTGTCTGAGACCAGGGTGCCTCTGCCAGGCTTTTCTCCTGAAACATGTTCTGCTGTTCCCTTTGTTTTCCCAGAAAACCTCAAGCCAGGCTTGCGTGTCCTCGGACCAACTGCCCTGCAGCTGCTGCCCTTGACCACTCCTCAGCTTCCTCCCCCAGGCCACTGCCAGGGTCCCCAGCTGTGCCTGCTGCCTGGGGCCTGTCCTCAGCCAGAGCTGGACTACCCTGGGACCCGCAGATGCCCAGCAGGCTCCCGTGTGAGGAATGTGGGGCGTGCAGATGTGACAGCCTGGAGCCACGCCCAGGGAAGGTGCCAGTAGGGCCTTCCTTCTGCCTGGGCCCCTGGGAACTACTTAGCTGCTAAGGAACCTGGGCTTGGGCACCCAGCAGGACTAGAAAGCCTCACGCCCTGTCACCTAACCCCAGCCATGAGGGCTGAGAGTGAGGCTGGGAGAGGGAAGGCTGAGACCAGAGGCAGGACGGTGGCCCAGGCGTGGGCTCAGACCCGGGGCAGCAACCCTGGCTCCTGGCTTCCTTGCTGAGTGGCCTTCGCAAGACTCATCTTCTCTCTAGCCTTAGGTGAGGACCTGTAAGATGGGGGTCCTAATGGTGCTTCCCTTGTGGAGGGAGCACGTGCCGGTTGGAGGGGCTGCTGTTGTAGTATCTTCTGCCTTGTCCAAGGAATCCTGAGGCCAGAGTTCCCTCCAAACACTCCTCTCCTTGGTCACTTCCTGATCCAGTAGCCCATACTCATGGGGAGGTGGCAGGAGAATTCAGGACCTCTTTGATGGGTAGGGCTCTCTCCACCTTTTTTTTTTTTTTTTCATTTTCTGCAGTATTGGGGATTGTACCTAGGGCGTTCACACTGCACTCTATCCTCAGCCGTTTATTTATTTATTTACTTATTTATTTTTATTTTGAGACAGGGTCTTGCTAAGTTGCTAAGTTACCCAGGCTGGTCTTTTTTTTTTTTTTTTT